GGGAAAACAACAATGGTAGCCAACGAAAAGATAGCATCTCCGTACCAAGCAAAAAAGTAAAATTTATTTCTCTTTTACGTTGATTACTTTTCAAGGAGACAGCAAATAATTCATTTGCTTGTTTGATCTATACAGAATTTGGGTCCTACTACTTTATTATCTATTGCACGTACCTCAAAAAAACTTCAAAGTTTTTCCAATTTTACCAAACATTGTCTAAATACACCTACTATCTCATCATTCATACAAACAACACAGATCCAAACCTCCATATCTTCAATCAATACCACAAACAATAACAAATCTTCCATCAACCCCAATTCAAATTTAACCACTTCGACGAATAATTCTGCATTAATAACATCTACTGATAAACTGCATCAATCATCGACGGGCGTAACCTCTTCACGGGCAAAACAGTGCTTTCAATGTGGTGAAAAAACTACCAATCGTACCAATACTAATAATAATTCGGATCAATTACAGTCTTCTAGTAAACTATTATGTGGTGACTGTGGTGACTTATTGAATTCATTTTTATTTCCTTCCAAGAATATAAATTTTCAAAATTTTTGCGTGGACAAAAATACTATAACTAGTAACAGAATTAATCATCACACCACTACCATCGTTACGGGGAGCATAGAATATAACATTCAAAAGTGTATTAAAAGTGGAAACAAAGATAACGAAGCCTTACAAATGGCAATATTTGAGAATGAATATTATTGGAATCATTATTTAGAAAAAAAACGTAAATCACCTACTAGATTATGGGGAAACACAAATAATCCGGAGGGTAGAGTTGAAGTGTTAGATGGTCTTATACCATTAAATAAACGAGCTAGATGGTTGAATCGATCGAATGGTATGTAGTATAGGTGGATTACTGAGATACTTTTAGTTAAAATAAATTTAATATTTTATATATAAATTTATAATGGTAAAAAGAATTTTTATTATATTTTAATTCCATAAATTTTCGAAATAATGGTATGATATATATTGAAATAATATCCATGCATGTCCAGAAACAATGGGTTAATATTAAATTTATACCTAAATTCTGCTCAATTAAATCATTAAAACTATGTATTTTTTCTAATAAAACGAAAATATACAAAAAAAAAATCAACTTTTTTAAAAGTAAAGTAACAAATAAATCGTATTTATATTTAGTATTGTGATATAACACTTCTAGGAAATACACAGCAAGAAAATTTTAATTATAAAGTTCATATGTACAAGAGTTAATAATTTTTTGTTATAGCCTCCATCTTCCTAGAAAAGTGTCAAGAAAATGCTCTAATCGAAACTTTAACTCTTTCAGAGCTTTTGAAGAAGAATCCCACTCTTTATATAATTTCTTTAACCTATTAATTTCATTTACAAAACAAGGATCTCTTGTATATCCGATATCTAAATGCTAGGGTTCTCATATTCCGAATCTGAAGTAGTATTATCAGAAAATTCATCATAGGATCTTAATGGAGATGTTGGTGGTGTTATATCTGGGCTAGGGGAATTAGTATCTTGTCTTGCTAAATTTTGTATATAGGCATAGCATTTTAAAATTGAGGGATGTTCCGATTTTATTTCTATTGTTGGGGAAATGTAAAGAGCTCTCGGTTCATCTTTTGGTCTTTTAAGGAACCAGTGTTGATTGTAGGTAGTAAGAATTCCGAATTGTAGTTTATTAGCGGCTAGGTAGCCAAAAATTTGATGAATTATATTTACAACCGAAACTTTATTATCGGGAGAAATAAAATCACTGTTTTTTTGTTTTAAATCATTATTGTATCTTTCATGTAAAAGTTCATTGTTTATAAACAAAACCCATTGGGTTTTTACTTCAATAGGTAACAAAAGCTTTCCTATGCGTTTGTAAATAAAATCAGGTTCTCCTT